CGCGAGGCACGCCACGTTACGAACTTGGGACTCAAGAGCATCCACCCTCGCCGCAACCGCCTTCTTCTCCGTCATGCTACCGGCTTACCCGAGTTGAGCAAAAGCTGCGCTACAGATGGAAACGTTTGAGGTGATACTTAAACTGATGCACACTCTTGAAAGTCTCGCTACTCTGGTGATCACGGAGACACAGTGTGCAAGGAGCAGGAAAATCTTTTCCTCGAACCTATGGTCCGCCGCGATATGCAATCTCAGGCTAGGAGCACCAGGCCAGTAACCTAGACAGAAGGGACACATGAAAGGGATAGCGAGCGAGTGATCATAATTAACATGCCGTGTGAGCCACATTTCCCTCTCGAAAGAACGCGGACATAATTTACAGTCGAAACCTGCCTGCCGAAAAGTGCCTACCTTGTGCGTAATTAACTTATGGTGCGACAGGCCGCCCTTAGTTGTGTACCTACGCCCACATCCAGGAAAATCACAGATGTAGTCACCATCAGAAACATCGGTGGTCCTAGGTACATTCCGAAGATTCCAATACTTCGTACGCACTCTAGGTGGCAACGTGCCGTCCAAAATAGCCTTGGCATCCTCCTGTTTTTTAACGTACCATGCTGGAGGACGCATCTTTCTAGAAACCCTGCGCGGAGTGACTCCAGTATGAGTAGCACGCGAGGACTCCGTCAAGTTAGATTGCAGAGACAGAACAACAGTGGACACCAACAACCTAAACATAGCAAGGTCACCCTCCGTTTCCGCATCCTGAAAACTTCCTTCCACCAAGTCGCAACACAACTCCTCCATATCCACCTCCGGATTTGCGCGCACCCTTTCGCGAACCTCGGCCGTCAGCGATTGCACCAATTTTTCCCTACCCCCAGCCGCCAGTTCCAGCCGCAAAAACGCACTTCTAGACGCAAGATCGTTCTGAAGACGGTCAGAAGCCTGGATTAAGCGTTGTTCATGCCCTACCCTCTTTTTCAACTGGAACACCTTTCCCTTGGGTAGCTGAGTTCTAGGTGGGGGCGGCACGTTTGGTATAACCGCCAGTGGTTTGTGCCACAACGCCACACCCGCAGTTTTCTGTTTCCAAAGACTAGCACCTTCCCCGCTATTTGCAAACTGCAACCAACCCTGCCGATCGATGCCTGCTGCAGTAAGATCCTTGGCAAAAGAGTCACGCAACCGTTTCCCAGACTGAAGGCCAGGCTTCCTAGCTTGACCAACATCAGTTGGAAGAACACCGAACAGTACACGTTTGGGGATTCTATGGTCCGGCATGCGACCAACATGACCAAGCCATCTAAGCCGACATTGACAGACAAGATCAGCAATGGAGGGGACACCCAACCACGCCCTCAGGTCATCATTGGAAAGTGAATGCTCCCGTTGGTAGCGCAACCCGTAACCCGAAAGTCGCCGCAAACAGATCAAGTGAAACTTCTCCAGTTTTTTCCGCACCGGGTATGTATGCGTCCACACTTCAGCCCCATACAATAAAACAGACAGAACACAAGCGCGGTAGACGCTAATTTTGGTGCCGAG